TCGTGGATCAACCAAAAATCTAACTTTAGGTAAATTTGTCTGGTGCAATGTGCAGGCACCCAATCAAGTCCTTTTTGGCCAGGGCAACCTATCAAAACAAGGGAGGGGTCAGAAGTTAGACCAAGCTGTGTACATATTAACCTGACATAGATCTGGTGCCACTGGCAGACCCTGGTGCAATCAGCTTCCTAGGTGGCCTCTGGCCTGGCCCATGCTGCCTTCTATCCTGACCCCTGGGGTCCCCCACTCTCTCCTGCTCCCCGAGAGCAAAGAGCCCCAGTGAAACTGTACCCCTTCACATATTGATTTGATGATGTTTTGAGGACAGGTGTTCTGACAAATACAAGTGTATTTACTGTTAAAAAAATAGATTTGAGACTGCATCTGAAAATCTGGATCCTATGGTAGTGCTTTCTATTATTCTCACTAGCGTTTCAGTTAGTGCTATAAAGTGGCCATGTGACCTTGATAGCAAACGCCATCTTTCTAACAAACCTGCCTGCGCTGCCTCAGACTCCTCTGACGAATTCTTGTGCTATCTTTTCCTATTTCAAAGCCTTGAGACCGCCCACCGAGACCCCTTTTCCGTGTGGAAAGAATGGCAGGCTCTCAGGTCATTTGTGGAGCAGATGTGATTGACACGATCTGGGTCTAATGAATGCTCGTCTCCTTCCCAGCTCAGATGACTAGTTCCGCTCTCTTTCCCAGCTTCTTTTTGATGACTCATCCCTGAAATTTTTCGCTCACACGCCTTTCTCAGAATTGCCCCGCCCATCTCTTCTCTCTTGGCTCCTAGTTGTCCCCCACCCTTAGGGGAATGGGTCTTGTGAATCCTGTCGGGTGTAGTTTTTGCAGGGCACTTTAAACATATGGAAACCAAAAAAAAAAAAATTTGCACAGGAAAGAGGAGGCTCGTTTCCTTATAAGGAGCTTAACCTGTGACTGTGCTTTGAACTCTCCCTTTCACATGATGGGGGTGGGTGAGCGAGAAATGCCAGCAGGGCTCCTGCCTCTGTTTCCAGCCCATCTCCAAACCCCTTGCAGCTGAGTACCTAGCAAAGGTCAAGCTGCCCCACTCCAATGCTGGCCTCAGTAAGGGAGGAATCCAGGCAAGCACAATTAGGCTTCAAAGTTTCAAACATTTTTGTGGGTCTCTTGGGCATCTGCATCAGGCATAAAGGACCAGTTTGCCAGGAACTGCACTCCTGAAGAGGAAACAGACATTGAGTCATTAACAGAGGGAAGAGAGAAAGGGAAGCAAAACCAAGTAGGGGGCTGAGACTGAACTAAGAAACTGTCCTAGTGCCTTTAAATAGGTGAATGAATGGACTTCCACAGGGGCAAGGGTCCGTTGCCATGCTGTGCCCATGCAGGTCCTCACAGCATGAACTCCTGGACAAAGTCAAGTGAAGCCAATAGATCTACAGTGGGAAGTTGGTGAGGAGCTGGCTAGATTTGTCCCCTTTGGGCACTTGTAGGCTAAGTTGGTCTTTCATGCTCAGGCAATCATCACCACTTCTATGCCAAGGCAAAAGCCTGTGGCTGAAAGCTTGCAGTTCTGCCTAGGTTTAACACCGCCTTCCTTGTATAGGGTTTGTGTATAGTGGGTGCACAACAAATCCTGAGTGTCATACCAAAGGCTAAACACTCAGAGACCACCCAGTCTGCAGGCTTCTCATGGGAGGGAGCTTTTGCACTTTGGTATTGTGTCTCTGGGGTAAAAAGAGTACTTTGTAGCTTGAGACAGACAAAGAAGGTGCTGAGAAATGTAGGCACCTTCCTTTGCTATTCCCTCTTAGCCAGCCCCACTGCTCCCCTGTGGAGGCCCCTTGGCTAAGTCTCATCCACAGCTCATTTGCATTGTCCAGGCTTGCCCCTCCAGCCTCTGAGCAGAATGTAGTCAATGGCCAGGAAAGAGGCGGCATGCTTTCTGCCCCTGTTGGGGTGAACATTAAGTGGAGACACAATCCACTTTCCAGACTCCACTTCCACGTCCTCTCCTTCATCTACATCACAAGACAATTCTTAAACATTTCTCTGTGCCAGGGCTCTGTCTGTTCTCATTCCTTCACACATAATCCCTGTCCTGACAATCAGAGGCAACAAGGGTTGAGTGACACCAAAAATGCAGAAAGCACATACACGTGGGAAGGGGAGTGGGTTAATGTGTAAACTGTGTAGTTCAGAGATGTTGACACCAGTGACACATCTGGGGGTCAGTGCAATTTGGGGCAAATGAGTCAGGATAAATGCATGTAATTGCGATGGAAAGTGGGGGTGGATAATTGGGAGAGTTTTGGGAGATTGGGAAAGTAAAGCTGTCAACAGCAAAGGATTCCTGAAGGAGATGGGATTTCAGAAATAGCTGAGTTATAGAACCAAATGGCCATAGGTGTTTGCATCTGAGGTGGAAGTAGAATTAACAGATCAAGTAGACTTTGATAAGGAATGCTTCAGTAACCTGTGACTCTTATTTCTTCTCCTCCCTTCTCATACACATTTGTTGGGTGTCATAGATATTGGGAACATAACAATAATAATGATAGCAAATAGCTCTTGAGTACTTACTATGTGCCAGGTACTATGTTAAGCACACTATCTTATTTAAACATCATCTTGACCTTATGATGTATCATTATCGGGCCCATTTGACACATTAAGCAAACTGTGGTTCAAAGACATGAAGTGACTTGCCCCAAGATCACACAACTGGCTGTAAGTGGAAGAGGTGATATTTGAATTTAGTCAGAGTCTACAGCTCATGAATTTAATCAGTGTTCTCTACTTAATCTTTTAGTTGGACAATGATAGAAATGGGATGACTTTGGTGGCAAGGGAAGCTGGAACAGGGAGGGAAGACCACTGTAAAGCAGAAGATCCCAGAGCAGCAGCACGGCCCCCAGCCAGCTCTGTAGACAGGCAGGTAGAGGAAGCATCTGGGTAACCAGGATGCAGCAGACACTCACAGGAAGCCCGGACAGGCGGGTGGTGGGCAGCCAGGGTATCTAGCAGCCAGCGACAGATGCTCTGCTATAGGGCCTGTGCTTCCAGAGCAGAATGTCAGACGTCAAAAGGTCTGACTAGAACTAGATGAAACACTATTCTTAAGAAAACCATGGTGCTAGACAAAGCATCAAGGTAGGATTAAGGAGCTGGGGACACCAGAAAAAGGGCCTAAGAGACACTTTTATATAAGAAACCAGGGAACAGTCCTGTTATCAAAGCTAGGAGTCAACTCCATTCATTCATGCTCCTAACTATTCTTTAAACAACACTTCTGAGCTCTCACTATGTTGTAAGTGCTATGGTAGGCACTGGGGTAAGACAGTCTAGTGGGGAAGCCAGACTTGTAAAAACCAGGCAGCTACAATACTATGTGATTAGTTCTCTATTAGAGGTACAAACAGATTGTGTGTATGGAGGTGAAGAAACTAACTCTTCTTGGGAGAGCTCACAAAGAATATGAACTCCGAGCTGGGTCTTTAAAGAGGAGGAGAAAGTTCCCAGGCTCGAGTGGTGCAGAGGATTCCAGGCAGAGGGAATAACATGGGCCAAGGCATAAAGTTTTGAAAGAGTAGGACACATCTGATGAACAATAAGCAATTCATACTGGGGTATATGGTAGGGAGAAGTGTGAACTATGAATCTGAAGGCCAGATTATGAAGGTTTTTATTAAAAGATTTTATTTATTTATTTTTAGAGAGAGGGGAAGAGAGGAAGAAAGAGAGGGAGAGAAACATAGATCAGTTGCCTCTCTTACGTACCCTGACCAGAGACCGAACTGCAACCCAGGCGCCTGTCCTGACCAGGAATTGAAGCAGCAACCTTTCATTTTGTGAGACAATGCCCAAACAACTGAGCTACACCAGTCAGAGCTATGAAGGCTTTTGTAGGTGCTGCTAAAGAGCTCAGACATTCTCCCATAGGTAAAGGAGGGGCAGCTATGGTCTTCACATCCACAAGTGACTGGGTTGTGTTGATGTGTTTTAGGAAGACTATCTGGGAAATAGTACCCAGATGCACTAGAGGCAGGCAGATCATTCAAGAGGTTATTGCAATTGGGCAGGCAAAAAACGATAGGAGTTGGCCCTGGTTGGTGTGGCTCAGTGGGTTGGATGTCGTCCCACAAAATTTCATTCCCAGTCAGGGCACATGTCTAGGTTGTGGGCCAAGCCCTGGGATGAGGGCATGCAATGACACATTGATGGTTTATCTCCCTCCCTTCCCCTCTCTCTAAACATAAAGAAATAAAATCTTTTTTTTAAAAATGACAAGAGTTTGAGCTAAGATAGTGACAGAGAGGAATAATTCAGGAAAATGGTTCTGCGGGAGACTTGATAAGAATCAGTGATTGATATGGTAAGTGATGCGGAGAAAGTAGCCATGGACAACTCCAAAATTTCTTACTTGAGCCTGTGGTGACATTGTTCACACATGGATTTGGACTCTAGGAGGAAGAACAGGTTTGACATAAGGAGAAGAGTTTGGTTTGGAACATACTGAGTTGGAGGTGTCCACTGTGCATTAGTAAATGTTTAACTACCAGCTCTGGCTGGTTGGGGGTTAGGGGAGGTAGAGAGAGATGTTGATTTATTGTTCCACTTATTTATGCACTCATTGCTTTTTTTAAAGCTATCGTTTCTTTTAAAAAAAAAGATTTTATTTATTTGTTTCTAGAGAGAGAGGAAGGGAAGGAGAAAAAGTGAGAGAGAAACATCCATGTGTGGTTGCCTCTCACATACCGCCCCCCCCCACTGGGGATGTGACCCGCAACCCAAGCATATGCCCTGACTGGGAATCAAACTGGCAACCCTTTGCTTTGCAGGTCAGTGCTCAATCAACTGAGCCACACCAGCCAGGGCTCCAGAAGGCTTTTAAAAGTCTAATGTGAAATTCCTTATGAAAACTTCTGGTAAAGCAAACTTTTAAAAGCCTATGTGGTCAATTTATCATTCTTGATGCATTTATATAAATAATCATGCTAAATCTAATGATACCTATTGCTTCTCAGCCATTTGGCTAAGACCAAGTGTAGTATCTGTTCTTATCAGTTTAATATCTGATACGTCCTCTATCCAAGGACATTAATATCAAATTGGATTTTTGGAGCTGGGAGGTAGAATAATATCTTGCTCCATCTACTCTGCGCATCGACTTTGTATTGCAGTACTTCCAGGAACAGGGCACAAGAAAAAAAATAAATCTAATGACACCAGGCTTATTTTGTAAACAGAAATCAGAAAGGTGGGGGTGATCCTGGCCAGGTGGCTCAGTTAGCTGGAGCATTGTCCCATACACCAAAACGTTGCAAGCTTGATTCCTGGTCAGGGTGTGTATGGGACGCAACCAACTGATGTCTCTCTCTCTCTCTCTCTCTCCCTCCCTCCCTCTCATCAATAAGCATGTCCTTGGGGGAGGATTAAAAAATAAATAAGATAAATTATCAACAAGAAAAATTTATAGTATTGAATGCCTGTATTAGCAAAAAATATTTAAAAATCAATAATCTAAGTTTCCATCTTAGGAAACTAGAGAAAAAGAGCAAATCAAATCCAGAGTGAGCAGAAGAAAAAAATTAACAAGGATTAGAGCAGAAGTCAATGAAATTGAAAACAGAAAATTAATAGAGAAAATAAATGAAAATAAAAGCAGAGTCTTTGAAAAAGTCAATAAAATTGATAAGCCTCTAGCCAAGCTAAGAAAAAAGAGAGAGGACACAAACTACTAATATTAGAAATGAAAGAGGGATCATCACTACAGATCCACAAACATTAACAGGATAATAAAGTTCTGGCTGATGTGGCTCAGTGGATTGAGCGCCAGCCTGCCAACTAAAAAGTCACTCGCTTGATTCCCACTCAGAGCACATGCCTGGATTGCAGTCCAGGTCCCCAGTAGAGGGTGTGCGAGAGGCAACCACACATAGCTGTTTCTCTCCCTCTATTCCTTCCTCCCTTCCCCTTTCTAAAAATAAAGAAATAAAATCTTCTTTAAAAAACTCAATAATAAGCCTGATCTCCCTCCTGGGTACTTGCCCACAGCTTTCCCTCCCCCCTCTTACTCCACAGGCACACACTCCTATACTCTAAGGGTCCTCACAACACCTGCAACCAGGGGAGCAATGGGCAGCAACAGCTGGTCCTGGGCTAACCCCCTGAATCTGTCCCCACAGCCCCCTTTTCTATGGCTCTCTGGTAAGCTGACAGCAACCCCTCCTTGACTCACTTCTTTCCTACAATGTTCCTAGTGAGCCAAAACAGCCCCTCCTAGGTTCTCTCTTGTTACTTCTTCTATCCTGGGCCCTTGCTTGTTTCACTGTCCCCAGCTTTAATCAATGTACTCCTCCGGAAAAACACTTTCCCTTAGCCATTGTGGCTCATTTGGTTAGAGCATCATCCCATCACTAAAAGGCTGCGGGTTCAATTTCTGGCCAGAGCACATTCTTGGGTAGCAGTCTTGATCCCTGGTCTGGGTACATACCACAGGCAACCAATCAATGTTTCTCTCTCACTTGGATGTTTTTCTCTCTCTACCTTCCTTTGTTTTTCTCATTCTAAAAACAATGAGAAAAAAAATGTCCTCAGGTGAGGATAAAAAACAACAGTAAGATACCACTATGCACTTATTAGAATGGCCAGACTCTGAACACTGACAACACCAAATGCTAGTGGGCATATAAAATGGAAGACACTTTAGAAGACAGTCTGGTGGTTTCTTACAAAACTAAACATACTCTGATCCAGAAAAGTCTCTTCTCGGTATTTACTCAAAGGAGTTGAAAACTTACATTCACTCAAAAACCTATACACAGATGTTTATGGTAACTTTACTCATAATTGCCAGAACTTGGTAGTAACCAAGATGTCCTTCAGTAGGTGAATGGATAAATAAACTTTAGTACATTCAAACAATGAAATAGTATTCATTTTCTAGGAAGAAATGAGGTATCAAACCATAAAAAGACATAGAGGAACCTCAAATGCATATTACTAAATGAAAGAAGTCAATCTAAGAAGACTAAATACTGTATGATTCCAACTATATAACATTCCCAAAAAACTATGTAGACAGTGAAAAGATCAGTGGTTGCCAAAGGTTAGGAGTTCGAGGAGTGATGAATAGGATTTTTTTTTAATCAGGGAAATTTCTATTGAAGGAATACTTAGGTTATAGCACCACTTGCTTAAATTTTTGCTGAGAGACCAAATGAAATATAAACATCACAAAATATTGTAGACCACCTTGTGGTCAACCAGGAGAAATACCTTTTGTGGTTTCAGTTGCATTTCAATGGGCAATTTTTCACTTTTGAAGTCTTACCATTTCTAGGAATGAATGTATCATTTTATAGTGGTACTGTTTATTTCTTTTTAAATTGTTTTTATTTATTTTATCAGTTTTATTTTTTAAAATTAAAAAATTTTCAATTACAGTTACCATACAATAACTATTACATTAGCTTCAGGTGTACAACACAGTTGTTAGACATTTATATAACCCTTCAAAGTGATCACCCAGATTAGTCTAGTACCCAGTGTACAGAGGAGGTTTAGTGCAGCATGATACAGAAACTACTCTACATAACACTATAATGGTGGATACATGCCATTACACATTTATCCAAAACCATAGAATGTACAATGCCAAGAGTGAACCCTAATGTAAACTAGAGACTCTGGGTGATGATGATGTATCAATGCAGGTTCATCAACTATAACAAATGTGCTGCTCTGGGGGGAGTTGGTGATAATAGGGGAGGCTATTATGTATAGGGGCAGGGGTATATGTAACTTCTCAATTTTGCTGTGAACCTAAAGCTGCTCTAAAAAAAAGCACATGAAAGAGGCAACGAACTGATGTTTCTCTCACACATCAATATTTCTGTCCCTCTCTTTCTCTCTCCCTTTTCTCTCTCTAAAAAGAAATAAATAAAATCTTTTCAAAAAGAAAAAAATAGCCCTGGCTGGTGTAGCTCAGTGGACTGAGTGCTGGCCTGCAAGCCAAAGGATCTGCCAGTTCGATTCCCAGTCAAGACACGTGCCTGGGTTGCAGGCCAGGTCCCCAGTAGGGGCGTGTGAGAGGCAACCACACATTGATGTTTCTCTCCCTCTCTTTCTCCCTCCCTTCCCCTCCCTGTAAAAAGAAATAAATAAAATCTTTAAAACAAATGAATAAAAAATTTTAAAAAGAAAAAATAAATTAAATAAAATAATTAAGAGTATAAGCCAACTCCAGAATACTAATAGAGGCTTCTGGGGAATATCCAGGAGATGTTTAGAAGGCCATTGGAAACACAGGTCTAGAGCTAGCAAGGTTTGGTCTGCTCTGCCCTTGCCTCAGTCCTTGTCCTGACCCAGATCTTCCTGATGGGCTTAAGTATGTGCCTGCCCTCTTCAATTAGACACCATCAGCCCTCTCCTAGAGACCAGCAAATCAGGACCAGAAATCCATCCTCCACAAACCCATTGGGTTATAATTTGATCTTTTCTGTAACTCAATGCAGAGTGTCTTGCTAGATTCCCCTAGGTCATAGTTTAGCCCAGTTCTCACATGAGTACTCTGGCAATATTTCCCAAACTTTAACCATTCAAGAATCACTGAGGGACTTCCAGTCAAATGGTGACATAGGCAGACATTACTTGTCTCTTTGCACAGCCACATCAAAATTAAAACTAAAACATAGAACAACAATCACTCAGAAACGTCAGAAATCGAGTTGAATGAAGTCTGACAACTATGGAATTAAAGAAACCACATCCATCCAGACTGGTAAGAGGGGCACAGATGTGGAATAGGCTTGTCCCATACCCACTTGTGGTGGATAAAAATTCAGGAGGGATATCTTGGGAGGGAGGAGTCCCTGCCCCACACGAGGCTCCCCAGCGCAGGGTTCCAGTGACAGGAAAATAAGTCCCCATAACTTTTGGCTGCAAAAACCAGTAGAGTTTGAGTTGGCAGAGGAAACTGTTGGAGCCCCAAGCAGTTCTTCTTAAAGAACCCACACATGGACTCACCTGTTCAGACTCACTACCTCTGAGCTCCAGCACTGGGGTAGCAGCTTGAAAGGCACCAGAAGCATACTGGGAGAAACTGAACTTTCTGGCATCAAGGCGAGCAGAGGCCATTGTCCCATTGCTAAACCCTCCCCCCACAGCCACAGAGCTGGCAAGCTGGTGCCATATCTAAGACTCTTTCAACCTGGCTAACAGTCTTGGACCACCTGGGAGATCCCCAGAGACTCTGCCCCACCCAAATTATGAGCCCCCCAAGTTGCTTTTCCATATGAGTGCCTGGTCTTGGCTCATGCTGCACAACTTCCTAAATCCTTTCAAACAAGCAACAGCTGGCCTCAGTGAGCCCCAGACCTGGCACTAGCAGCAGCCAGCCTAGATTCACGGCTTGGCTTTGCCTGGAAATCTCCAAGCCAGCACAAGTAGCAGCCATCTCAGAGTGCTTTATAGCTCAGGTAGGATGGCCCTGGGCAAAACACAGGTGGGGGCTGACCTTAGCCCGCATGATCTGGGAAATCCAGGGCCAGTGCACCCAGTAGACATATACAGATGATGTCAGAGTACCACCACCCTGCCCCTGCACAGCTGATCATCCATGGAGGGTAGAAGTTGGTGGTAAGTGGTCACAGCCCATCCTTGACCCTGAATGGCCTGGATAAATCCCTCTCATTGATCTGCCACAAGCAACCAAGACTCAACTGTGAGAGGATGGTGTACTCAGCCTGCAAGAAGGGTGTACCTCAAGTTCCCAGCTTGGGTGATAGGGGAGGCTATGCCACTCGACCCTACAGGACACCTACTACATTAGGCCTCACTACCAAGGCACAGAGTCAGAGCAGCTCTACCTATTACATAGAAACAAACACAAGGAGGCTGCCAAGTGAGGAGACAGATAAACATGGCCCAAACAAAAGAAGAGATCAAAACTCCAGAAAAAGATCTAAACGAAATGGAGCTAAGCAATCTATCAGATACAGAGTTCAAAACACTGGTTATAGAGATGATCAAGGAACTTAGTGAGAACCTCAACATCATAAAAAAGATCCAGTCAGAAACAAAGGATACACTAATTGAAATAAAGAACTATTTACAGGGAAACAATGGTAGAGTGCATGAAATCGAGAATCAAATTAATTATTTGGAACATAAGGAAGAAAAAAAAACAATCAGAACAACAAGAA